TTACTGAATTAGAGATTATAAAGCAAAATCCATGTATTTTTTTTTAAATCCCAAAGCTGATTCTGATGCACAGCCAGTTAAGGAATTCATTGAACTCTTAGTATTTCCAAAGAATTTTTCTAAGAATTTCTGAGGTATATTCCCTTCCCGTCCCCCCACCACCTCCCGCCCCCGCTCTCATGGACCTCCTGGTATTTTGCAAGGCTTTATCTCAGTGTATGAGTTAAGTAAACATTAATTCCTTCCTCCTACCAAAAAAAAAAAAAAAGGCAAGGCATAATTTACATACAGGAATGTTTATACTTTTTAGGGTATCCTATAATCACACAACTACAACTATCAAAACATTAAACAGTTACATCACCCTAAAAACTGACCTGTGCCTCTTCGGATACAGTCTTCCCCTCTATCTCTAGTCCCTGGCAACCACTTTGTTTTTTGTCCTACCTGTGTCTTTTCTGAATTGTCCCATAAATTATTTAAACAGGCCTTTGAGGGCACCTGGGTGGCTCCGAGGGTTAAGCCTCTGCCTTCAGCTCAGGTCATGATCTCAGGGTTCTGGGACTGAGCCCCACATTGCATCGGGGGCTCGCTGCTCAGCTGCTCAGTGGGGAGCCTGCTTCTCCCTCTCTCTCTGCCTGCCTTTCTACCTACTTGTGATCTCTCTTTCTCTGTCAAATAAATAAATAAAATCTTAAAAAAAAAAAAAACAGGCCTTTGAGTCTGGCCTTCTTCCATTTAGCATAATGCATTTGGGACTCATGCATGTCGTTGTGTGTATCAGTCTGTTCCCTTTTATTACTAAGTAATACACATTTCATGGTACTGATGGACCAAGTTTGTTTACCCACGCACCCGTGAAGGACATTTAGATCGTTCCCATAATTTCTGGCAATTTGGAATAAAACAGCTATAGATACTTACACACAGATTTTATATGAACATAAGTTTTATTCCACTTGGGTGCATACCTAGGAGTGCAGTTGCTGGTGTATATTTAACTATATAAGAAATTAACAAAATATTTTCCCAAGTGGCTGTAGGATTTCGCATTCACACACACGTGTGCATGCACACACACGCACACACATACACAACAAACATGTTCATAACAAACTAAGAAGGAAGACACGTGAGAATCCCAGTCCTTGTCTCAATAACCGATCTCAGGCTCACAGCTGGTATTGGTTACTACCTACTTACACTACCCATTCTGCATTTCCTTTGCCTTCAGCAAGCACCTCAGCCGGTCATGATTCTGATAACACAGAGAATAGAAGAGAGTAAGCATTGCTAAGGGGTTATTTAAAATGGAGAATGTTGAGGGATGCCTGGGTGTCTCAGTCAGTTGAATGTCAGACTCTTGGTTTCAGCTCAGGTCATGATCTCAGGGTGGTGGAATCAAGCCACATGTGGGTCTCTGTGCATGGCAGGGAGTCTGCTTGACATCCTCTCTCTCCCTCTGCCCCTCCCGCTGAAATAAATAAATAAATCTTAAAAAAATAAAAAGGTAAAGTGGGGGATGTTGAAGAAGTGTGTGTCTTCTGTCTCAAAATCTCAGAATTGTTGAGAACTCAGCTAAAATTCAGGTTACATGTGAGGAATCTAGAGCCGTTGAGCAACCTGACCATGATCCCACAGCCCGAAGAGTTGGGACTCGTTCTAATCCAGGCAGGCTTTCAGGGCTAAAGGAGCGTTAGCCTGGTGGCCTAGAGCGAATCACATCACCTCTCAGAATTGCAGTTTGTGACGTCACTGGGGGATAGGAAGACCTGCCTCCCAGGTGAGTAGCGAAGATTAGATATAATACATGCTTAGTGCAGAATCCGCATTGCAATAATTTCTTCATAGCGTCCTCTTCCTGTTGATCTCATTTACTACACATAATCTCTTTCTCTTCCCAATGCCTCCATGAAACGAACAATGAAAGGAGGACTTAGCAAGGACAGCGGGAGGCCATGAGGGTGTGACCCCAGTAAAGGACCCTGAGAACACTTAACAGCTTGGTCCAGGGTTGTCCAGCCAATGGAAGACAGATTACGACCCACGCCATGAAACTAGACAGCGCATATTTATGGACTGGACAATGGAGAGGCTCATGGGATCCATACAGGATATTATTTCTGGCCCCCTTCAGGATTCTTAGGAGAAAACTGAGCCTACTCCTATAGTAACAACATAACCATCACATGGACCTTTTATAGAGGGCCAAGGGCAGTGTTAGTCCACACATCTCATCTCATCCCCACTGCAATCCCAGGAAGGAAGGATTATTTTGCCTATTTCATGGAGGAGGATATAAACCCAAGCCCGCTTGACTCATAAGGCCATGATCATAAAATACGGTACTTATTAGAAAAGACTGCTGGGGGAAATCAATTCAATATGCTGTAAGCAAAAGAGGAAATACTATTATGAAAGTAGTATTTCACAGATTTCCTGAGTACAGAACCAGAACTGGAAACTAGAAAGCTGTGCATGTGTGTGCGTGTGTCTCCCCACCTCCCCCCACCCCTCCCTCCCTACACCCGCCATCTTTTACCTCAGTCTTCTCTCTCTGTGGAGCACCTTCGGACAATTCCTCAGCCCCGTGTAGAATGAGCCACTCCATGCTTCTGAAGTTATATGCTACTGGTCTATCCTCTCATGATTCCTTTTCAAGTTACCAGGAGAAGAATCCTTTAACATTTTTTCCTTTTTTTTAAAAAAAAATTAATTATCCAGGTGGGGATGTGAAATATGAGGGAGGCCACAGAAATTCCCGAGTCCAGCCTACTCCTGTGGGTAGTCTTGTGTATCCCCAAAATGTGCTCACCCACCTCCATTTGGACACCTCCAGAGCAGCCAGTTTCATTGTGGGAGTCCTGGCTGTTAAAACACCCACCTGTATATACTGCTCCTGCTTCTATTAATTCTCCTCCAAGGAGCCTACCAAGGCTGAGGGGCCAGGCCTAGGCGGCAGGCTCAGCCCCAGGGTTTTCCAGTTCCTCCCTTCCCAGCTCCTGGCCCACAAGCTCTGGTCATCAATGTTCCTCCGAAATGGGTGCCTGACACACCAAACAAAACTGCCACCCACCATGTCCGATCATTGGGCGAGATTTCCCTGCTGTTTTTTCAGCCCAGTGCATGGTAGCTGGCACTTAGGCGGACATATTCTTCCAGAGGAAGACCCGCTGTGAGTAGCTCAGGAACCAGAACCAGTGATGAAGGCAGAGGTGGGAATAGAGACCCTTCTGCTCCTGAGGCTACAAAGGGAGGTAGGGAGCCCAGGAAGGCCCAGGCAAGAGGGGAAGTGCAGACCCCAATCCTGCTCCCACTTCTCCACCCCCAGCCCGGGTCAGTCATAGGCCCTGTCTATGCCTTTCTGAGGATGTTGCTAGGGCTGAGGGTGGAGGGGAAATTGTGGAGAGGGGACTCTTGGATGTGGTTGAGTGCTCTGAGATGGAGGGGGCTTAGTGAGGTGAATGAGGGCCAGTGAAGGAGGGGCTCATTGGGGGGGGGGCAGACCCCTGCGAAGACTGGGTCTCAGGATGAAGGGGGAAACGACAGGCCTTTCTTCAACTTGGGGGTGCTCTGTGTTGCAGCCTGGGTCTTTTTCCACCCCACCCCCACCCCCTCTCCAACTGCAAGCCTCTGCATGAGCTGCGGCTAGCAGGAGGGGGAAGTGTGAACTCTGAGAGAGGATGGACTCTGCACAACTGTCAAGGGCAGTGTGGGGCAGGTCAGGACAGAGGCGGAGACGCCCCTGTACCAGAGCCTAGTCTCAGACGCCAGAAACAGCTGGTTCCCAGGAGAAGAATCTGAGTGGTCCAGCTTGAGTCAGGTGTCTTCCAAAGTTCGTACCACGGTTGAGGACCAACAGGAGCACGGCAAGCAGGAAGCACCTCTGGGACTTGCTGAGCATAGAGAAAGGGGATTGATGCTCAGGATGGATACAAACACTAGAAAAGGTATCCTCCGTAGCTGTACGACTTTCCTACCAGAGGTTCAAGCATTTATTCATTTCAGAGAATTCAAACCAAGCATGGCCTGTATTAACATAAGCATTAATGGAGGAATGTGTAATGAGGATGTTAGGTGCCCAAAGACATTGATTTAGGTAGAAAAACTATTAATTGGAGTTTATCAGGCCAGCTGCCTGGTGGAGGCTCTAAATATTTTCTGGTTTCTACTGCAGGACCATCTGATAGGCCAAACAAACAAACAAACCCCCCCCAAAAAAACAAAATAAAACAAAACAAAAACAAAGCAAGCCAGCCATGTAATTTTAAACACTCTAGCAGCCACGTATTTTAAAAAGTGGAGAGAAAGAGAGCAAAATTCCTGCCAGTGACATATTTTATCCAAAATATGATCATTTCAACCCATAATCAATAATATTGTTTATGAACCACTTTACCTCTTTTGTTCTAAGTATTCAAAATCTGATACGTATTTCACATGTAGAGCACATCTCAGGTTGGATGTGACATTTTAACTGGAAATAACCTGATCTGGACTGAGATTTCCTAACACGCATACCAAACAGTAAAGACGGAATCACACGTCCTAGTTTTCATTCTACCCCTCGTTTGTTACGTGGAACGAATCCTCGTCTGTGCTCCCAGTTCTCGCTCACCAAGTTGGTCTATCGCCCGGATCTCTCTTCCTATGGGGAAGTGATCATTGGTAGAAATGACCGCTCTGGGATTGTGGCCCTCCACCCCACACAGGAAAGCCATAGCTGGAAGCTGGGAGCTACCTTTGTTCACCTCTTTGCTTCGTTTATGGGACAACAAATCATATTTGTCACCGATTAACTATACTGAGTAGGTAGGAAATTTCTGAGATTTTATTACTACTTTTTTGTTCGTTTTTCATCTCAACAATCAAGTTCCCTTAGGGAAAATGCTTTCATTGCCTCCTGAAATTCTGTAATAACACAGCGGGGACAGAGGATGCTGACAGGGCAAATGACTGGTGACCACGTAGAAGCAGCGAATGGTCGGCCGTTCCTGGCAATTCCTGGGGACAGTGCACCTCAGCAGGGAGGCAGCTGCTCCAGCAGAGAACACCCAGCAAGGCTTCAGATCCAATGGCAGGTGCTGAGCTACCAAAAGAAGTCATCTGGGTAACGGTCTCTAAGTAACATCACATAATGACGGTACAGGTCTCACAACTCCTACTCTGGTCCAGGGACAGTCCCCCGCAGCCGACCTGCATGCTAGGGCCGCCGAGGATGCTGTCCTTCTCACACCCGTCTCTCCTTCATATGGCCCAGCCTGGTGGGGGCTCGAATTGTTTTATTCGTTTTCTTATCAGTGTTTCGATTCGAGGAAGGGAGAGACAGCTCCAGCTCCCTTTTCTTGGCATCCCAGTCTTCGTCCTGCTGGTCCAGAGGCAGCCCCTTCTGCCTGGCGGTGCGCCGGTGGTCCTGGCACTCGGGCTCAGCCCTGGAGAGGGGGAAGACAGTGACCCTCAGCTCCCGGCTGGCCAGGAGAGCCTGTCCCCTCTGCAGCATGGGCCCCTCTTCCCACCCTCTGCACACAGGCTGGCCACATCAGCAGTCCAGGAGAGAAGGAAGGAGGCCGAGATCCAGCATCTCCCAGTGCACCTGTAGGATGCCTCAGACACTAAGGACATGACTGTGACATGGAGGAAAGTGGCAAGCCCCTGAGTGGGACATTCATAGAATCAAGGACAGGCATTTAGCCTGAGGAAGGGGCTGCTGAATTCTAAAGCATTCACATGTACAGAGCCTCCAGAATCTTAGCAGGAGGCGGCTTTCCTTCCTTTCTATTCCCATTGTATTTTATCCTGATTATAAAACCATGTCTGTTTGTTGTGTAAGATTTTAATGTATGGAAATATATACAAAAGAAATAAAAAGGACTCGTAATCACATATGTGTGGTATGTGTAGATGGATTTGTGGAAAGAGTAGCGAGATGATCTATATGGACAGATGATAGATATGGAACAATAGAATAGATAATACGGAAATAGGTGAATCAATCATCATATACACATGGACAAGGGGAAACATACGAAAGTATGGTCTGAAGTAAAGTGCAAAAAGCATGGTTCAATGAGAAGAGAGCAAACCTGTTTGCCCCTCATTCCGCATCCCTTCAACAAGCTAGAAGTGACTGCTCTTTATTTAGACCATATAGAATAGCTCCTCCGCCCTGTTCTTTCCACCTTTGCCACTTTCTAGCCTGTATCCATGCTATTTCTGTAAACAAGGATCTCCTCTCTCGGGAACTTAATGTCCAGCTCTGTCTCTGATTCAACTCTAAATCCTTTTTAGCATCTGGTTCAAAGCCATCTGCATGGTAGGGCTCAAAAATATTTGTTGAAAGAGAGATTTACTCGGAAAATGGTCAAATACTATCTAGGCTTCTTCTGAAGTTCTCTTATATCCTTTTTCTTCATCACGCAAGCCCCCCTGCTTGCAACAAGAGGCATTAGGAAATTCCTCCTGGTCCTTGTCCCCCCACTATCTCTGCACGTCCTCACACATCCACACACCCTATGCACATTTCCAACTTGATGCCTTCACTCCAAATCAAGAATCTTTCTCCCTCCTTCATTAGTCAGATCTTAGCTGTCTTTCAAGGTCCAGATTAATTTTCCCTTAATCAGGATCCCTTCTCTCTGAACCCTGTAAACTGTCGAAAAAGAAGTTCCTCTTGGAAGATGACAATCACTAGAAATGACTTACGCGTGATGTGGCTGACCTTTATTGTTTTTGTCTGCTCAGCTCTGCCTGCCCACTTTTCCTCATACTGACAACCCCCCACTCTTTGGAGAACCACTCCTCCTCTGCTTCAGTTGTGCTGGGATCATGTGTCATTCTCGTCCACCCACTAATCACCAGGGAGGGGTTGGAATTTTTGCAGAAAGAGTCAGCCAAGGACAGCCAAGGACAGGATCCTGAGGAATTTCAGCCTCTTTCAGGCATGCGAGAATAGGAGCTCAAGAAAATCATGAGAAGAAATGATGAGACAGGTGAAGGAGAAATAGGAGAGAACAGCACCAGAGAAGAGAAAGAGTTTTTTCAAAGAGACATGCCAAAAGAGAAGAGTAACCAGATATCAAAATAAGTGCAGGGAAGATGGGAGTTGGGAAGAGGCCATTGATTTAGCAGCAGAGATCTCCCTGGATGAGCGCTGATTCAGTACAACACGGAAAAGAAATGCAAAGGTGGGTGAGGAAGACACCCACACAGATTAACATTTAATCACATAGATTGACATTTAAGTAGCACAGAAATGCAGGGAGAGATCCAGCCCCACGTAGGCCCCCATGCTCAGCATGCAGTCTCCGTAAGACTCTCTTTCCTCCTCCCTCTGCACCTTCCCCTCCCCTCTCAAATAAAGAAATAAATCTTTAAAAAAAATGCAGGAAGAAGAAAGAAACAGCAGACAGTAGAAGGACCTCTAAATATTTGTGTGTTTGTTCAATAAGATCTATTTGAACATGTTCAAAGGCCACAGAGGACTGAGGGGGAAGGAATAGAAAAAAGCTAAAAACAGGAGAATAAAAGATGCAACAAAGAATCCAAGGATAATGACGTTGTAGGAGATATAAAGGTTTGGGTCAGGGTCCATAAGGAGGGACAACATGAAGGAAGAGGTTTAAATGTATAAACTCTTGACTTCAATACTCTCTATGCAGTAGAAAGCCTACTTTCCCAGGGACAGGCTGGGGAGATGGGGATGTGAACTGTCAGCAAAGGAGCAGGACAGGGAGACAGATCACCAAACTGTTCCGAGGGCTCAGCTGAAGATAGAAATCCCAGAACTTCTGGTGGTACCTATGAAATTATTTGTGGGCTTTTCTTTCCCAGACCAAGCACAGGCACGGAGAAGACGGAGACTGAGACAAGGCTGGGAATTCTGGGTCACATGGTACGGGAGGATGAAGGGTTGAAAATTTAAGAATCCTGGAACGAGAGGGGAAGAGGTGGTGTATCATGGTGTCCAATTGGCAGACAGATGGAAAATCATGAAACCTTCAGGCTGGCATCAATTGGGAGGGAAAGAAGTTGAATGAGAAGAGGTCTGCAAGTAAATACCTGTGTGATGATCCAGGAACTGGCAAAATGAAGAGAGCGAGCTATGGTTGCAGAGTGATATGTTAGAGTTTTTAGAAGTTCAGAGAACAATGTTGTAGGTGCTGAGGTCCGCAATGGATGGAGGTCACTGAACGTAGGAGATGGTGCAGGATTGGGGAGAAGAGTCTTCAAGTTAGGACTCAAGGTTCTCCTTCTTTTACCCCCAAAATCAACTTGATTATGATTTGGAATGTTTTTTAAAGATTTTATTTGTTTATTTGACAGAGACAGAGCACAAGCAGGGGGAGCAGCTGATGAAGGGAGAGGGAGAAGCAGGCTTCCCGCTGAGCAGGGAGACCGACATGGGGCTTGATCCCAGGACCCCAGGACCATAACCTGAGCCAAAGGCAGGCTCTTAACCAACTGAGCCACCCAGGCACTCCTGATTTTGAAAATTTTTAATGCGGACATCACTGTTAAGAGAAGGTCTCTTGGGTTACTCCTACAGATATCTAATCTCACCATAAGCAACTCTTTTAATAGTTTAACTTCCAGAAGATAACTTCATTTGCGAATTCTTGCAAGGGCATTATACAGTCATTCCCCCTTCCCACCCTGAGCTGCCCTATAGATAGATTTGCTATGGATCTTATTTTGGTTTTCAAGCAACACTGCCCTCATTCAATTACTTTACTGCCTCTTATATGAATTACCTATTAACTCAACCAGATTATAAATTCCCCAATTCCATCCCTCCCAATGCTGTACCTGTCAAGTAAATAATTGATATTTAATTCTATTCGAATGCAGTGAGTGAGAGAAAAAATTAACAACTGCTAGAAAATTCATGATCTTTGGTGACTGTGTGAGTAGAAGATCCGTAGATGAATAGAAGTTTTAAAAGGTAGAAGGGCCCTTACCGCTGAGAGCCTAATTCACCAGCTCCATTTTTGATATGAGAAACCTGAGGCTCAGCAAGGTGACTTAAAAATACCCAAGGTCACACAGCTAATTGGAATACCTTTCAAGAATCTGAAGGGGCTCCATGAATCTTGTACCATGACCCATTTCAAGCTTGTGTCCCACCTCTCTTATCTGAGATAATTTTTGTATAATCTAAAACAATAATTTTAAGTTATATATTGTTAAAATTATTGTAAATATGTGTCATGATAATTGTAATTTTAGCATCATATAAAAATAGTAGATTTCACATCATCTAAAACAATATAGTTTCCACCCAAACTAGTCATTTCAGGGAAAAGAAATAAAAACAACTCAAACGACAGTGGGCTGAATTTGCTTCTTTCATTTTCATGGACCACAGACCACTGAGTTGGCAAAGACCTTGACTCCAGGCTCCTGTTTCTCTGTCATTTCTCTAACAGGAAATAAATGAAACTTACTTCTCCAGGAAGGCCACACAGGCGGTCTGCCCGTAGATCTGTGCGATCCTCTTTGGCGTGTCTCCAAAGAAGTCGGGGGCATCGATGGGGGCATGCAGTCCGTGGAGAACTTTGAGCACATTCACATGGCCTGACTCAGCTGCAAAATGAGCTGCGGTCCAGCCCACATCAGTTACCAGGCAGGGCCTGGCTCCATGTTCTAGAAGGACCTGCATCACCTCCATGTGCCCTTAGATGTAGCAAGAAGAAACAGGAGGAGGTTGAGATTAAAATGTCTCTGCCCCAATGAGGCCAGAGATGGCCTAGATAGGATAAAAGAAGGGAAGACATTTGCTTTGGGGCCCTTCCAGTCTCTTAGCATCATCCCCTCCTCCTTCTCCCTCTCTTACTGGGGACTCAGTGCTCCACCCTCAACTCATGAACCTTGCTCCCTCCAGAGTTCTGGGCTCTGCAAAGATTCCCTCTACTCCCTCCAGGGCACTCCCTTTCCCCGTCCATTCCCACAGGCCCTTCCTAGGAATCTTGCTTCCCTGAATCACCCTACACAAGCCCATGTGGACACTGGTAAGGCTCATTGCACTTTTGGCAGTTTCAGGGGTGATTCAAAAGCAAGTATTTTGCAACAGTATGGATGGAACTTGAGGGTGTTAGGCTAAATGAAGTAAGCCAGATAGAGAAAGAGAAATATTATATGGTCTCACTTATATGTGGAATCTAAAAAAACAAAGGGACACCAAGATCATAGGTACAATGAACAAGAGGTGGGGGAGGGGGAGGGGTTGAAGAAATGGGCACAGGGATCAAAGGGTACAAACATCAGTTATAAAATAAGTCAGTCCTGGGGATGTAATGTACAGCAGGGTGGCTGTAGTTAGTAATACTGTCTTGCATATTTGATAGCTGCTAAGAGATCTTAAAAGCTATCACAAGAAATTTTTTGTAAAAAAAAAAAAACTACAACATTTTTTGTAACTACATGTGGTGATGGATTTTAACTTCACTTAAAGTGAAGTTGTGGTGTCATTTCATAATATCTACAAAAATTTAATTATGTTGTATACCTGAAACTGATATGTTGTATATCAATTATACCTCAATAAAAAAATATTTTAAGTCCCACTTACTTTATAGCTAGCGCAGATTAAAAACACACAGTTTGGGGTCCAATAGGTGTGGACTCATACTTCCCAGTAAGTACCGCTTGCTAAGTGTGGAATCCCAGACAAGAAACAGAGGTCTGAGACTCAGGTTTCCTCATTTGTAAGTGAAAAGTGTTATGACTTACCTCCCCAAGTTCTTTTGAAGTCCAAAGGAAACCACAGCCAAAGGCTGCACACCGTGCTACCCAGCACACAGCAAATGTTCACTAAAAGCTTCTTTAGTATAACTACCCTCACTTTGTGCTCAAATTTCTGCAGAATTCTCCCAACTGATTTCTTTGAAGCCAGTCTTGCTTCCTGCCAATCTATTCTTCATATAGAAATCAAAACAGGTTTTTTAAAAGCAAAGTTGACTGTAACACTGTCTTCCTTAATGTTCTTCGATGGTGTTCTATTGCTGAAGGGCTTGACAAGCCCAATGGCTGAGTTTTTGCACACTACCCTCCTCCAGTTCTGTAACTGAGCCATGTGAGGCATGGAGGATACAGCAATGAACAAGACAGAGTCCCTGTCCTACCTTCCCTGTTGGAGGTCAAGAGGACAGAGCACTAATATTAGTTGAGAGCAAACTATGAGCTGGCACCATGCACCCATCATCTTACTGAATCATCACCATAAGACTCCCAGGTAATCACTGTTCCCATTATGTAGGTGAATAAATTAAAGCCTAGAGATATTAAATAAGTTGCTTAAGTTGCTACAACCAGTAAGTGGTGGGGTCAGGGTTGATATGTTCCATTTAGCTCTCAAGTGATGCCCTTTCCTCTACCTACACAGACTACTGACTGGTAACTCCATGAACGGTGGACTCAAGGGATGGACTCTACCCAGGCAGTTCCCACTCACCTTTGATTGCTGCCCAGTGAAGGGGGGTTCGGTCATTCCAGTCCACATCCTTGTAGTTTGGGTCACAGAGACCTTTTTTCAAAATCTTTCTCACTAAATTGTAGTCCCCTGAAGCCACAGCCTGGTGGAGCTTTGTCATGTCTGACATTTTGGTCAATTCCATGACAAAAACAACTGTGGGAAAAACATACCACTTAGGAAATTCTCAACAATTCTTTATTCCCAGTAAGTGATTCCATAGGATTCCTTATCATTTACTTCCTTTCTTACCTCACAAATTTGCATGTGTGTGTGTGTTCTACTGAGGGTGTATTCGGATTTCAGCCACTGTGGTTAGTATATGCCAGTCCCCTGCGAAGAACTGTCAATGGCTCCCCTCTGCCTACAGGAATACAGGATGACCTCAAGAGCTGGGATTTTCTATTTGGCTTCAAAATACTTTTCAGTGCTATTCCCCACTTCTATTCCAAAGTGCTAGTAGTATGATTCTGAATCAGTTGTGTAATTCTGTGTGTTACCTTTTTCATCTATAGCATGGGTATAATTTGCCAGAGTTGTTGTCAGGATCCAAGGACAATCCATGTGAAAAATGTACTGACTGGACACAGAGCAGGTACTCCAAAGAAATTTAATACTATTGGCACACCAATTCAGATGGACAAGATGTAAACATGCAAACAAAATGCCTACAATTTTTTTACATTAAGACATAAACCAACAATTCTCAAACTATAGTCTACAGAGGCTTAGGAATCCTGACTCGTTCGTAAGAACCATGAGGTCAAAACTATTTTCATTATAATTTTAAAATGTCATTGGCCTTGTTCACTGTGCTGACATTCGTCCTGATAGTTCAAAAGCAGCAATGTAGAAAGCAGCTGGTACCTTAACACAAAGCAAGGCAGTGGCAATGACACCGAACTAGATTAGCGGTCATGACATTCACCAGCAGAGAGTCAAAAAAAAAAAAAAAAAAAAAAAGCAGCTAGTGTCAATAAAGACACTAAAGTAGTGAAAGTTATTTTTTGAATAAATGTTAACCCTTGATTACATGACTTAATAAAAATGATTTTAAAATATTGTATAACGAAAGGTATCAACATATGGAAAGTCTACATAACTCTGTGCACAAACAATAAGCACATGATGTTACAAAAATCATGCCTGAGTAAAGAGACCCATTCAAGATAGGACAATGGATTTAAGTGAGAAGTATGAAAAGTACACTGAGATTGTTTCAGATTCCAACTTACTTGTAAAGCACGACCCCCGTCCAGCTTTGGTGTAGTATCCAAGACAAATATCCACAGTTATCTGGAAAGGTTATAAGATACTTTACCCTTTTCCAATTTTATATATGTGTGGGACCAGATTTTCTTTCTATATTTCTTTTTTTTTTTTAAGATTTTATTTATTTATTTATTTGACAGATTGAGAGAGAGAGAGAGAGAACACAAGCAGGGGAAGCTACAGGCAGGAGAGGGAAAAGCAGGCTTCCTGCTGAGCAGAGAGCCTACATGGGGCTCCATGTAGGACCCTGGGATTATAACTTGAGCCAAAGGCAAAGGCTTAACCGACTGCGCCATCCAGGTGCCCCTTCTTTCTGTATTTCAACGAAAACAACAAATTGAATGCAGAAGACCTAAGAATCCAGCTGTCTCCTATTGAGCCACATAGTAAAGAAATTCGACTACAGACACGCATATTTACATACATGCATAATAATGATGCTGTTCTCACTTCTTTTGCTTTAGAAAATATATCATTTTTCATAAAAATATCATTCATGTTACTGTATATTATGCTTATTATGATTTTTAAGTGATGTAATAAACATTTAAATTTTTTCTCAGTATTAATTTCTAATAAATTAAATATTGATAACTGTAATCCATATAAACATAAGCTCTCTGGGTTCTCAGTAGTTTTTAAGAGTGTAAAGGAATCCTAAAACCAAACGTTTGAGAATTACTGACATAAACATAAAATAAAATATAGATAAAAAATTTTTTAAAAAACATAAAATAAGGGGCTCGGGCAGAAGAAAAGAATAAGGGGGGCCAGGAGGAATGTCTCTCTGACCCAGCAAGTTGAGATCTCAAGAAGAGTTTGGAGTCAGCCAGACACACCGTGGCCCAGCAGCAGCACCACCCTGGAATTGACTAGAAATTCGAATTCTTGAGCCTCATATCAGACCTACTGATGTCATTGAAATATGAGGACACCCCTAGAGTGAGATAGAAGTATATAACTCAGTTAACATGCTATCTCTGAGGTGTTCTGATGGCGGTGCCTGGGGAGAGAGGGAAAGGACCATTCCCCAGGACTAGGAAGTAAAAGTCACCTTTTTTCTGAAAGTGACCTAAGCTGGGTCCAGAAGGGGTGAGTAAGAGTCATCTTAGGCACTGGCAGTGGGGGAAGATCCAACTCAGGCACAGCGTATCTACGGGGGAAGCAAAGGGCAAGCAGCTCCAACTCTGATGTTCAGACCAAGGATAAATAAATGTTTCCTGTAAAGGGCTGGGTACAAAATTTTTTAGCCAAAATCAGGCCAAGAGGCAAGAATCAAGACTATTATGTAACATTACATAACTATTATGAAATAAGAGAAAAATTCCAGAGAGGGGTGGGCCATCCTGGGAGAAGAAGGGGTGGGGGTGGTGGGTGAGCGTGCTTTGTGCTCAGTAGCCCTCAGCTGGAGATGTTCTCAGGGGGCAAAGCAACCAGCTCTAGGGGGAGGGGTCTGGCTGGTAGGGTGGTCATTCTCCTTCCACCTCAGTGGCGCCCAGATCCCAGCATACTGTTTCTCCTTTCCAAGAGCCCAACCATTCAAGCTAAAAGCTCGAGGGAGGCAAGGTGACTTGATTGAATTAACTCTACTGCTCAGTGACCAGAAATTGCCAACAGCATAGTTCCCAAAACGTAGGTGGTGACCAGCAGGGCCCTGGGCAGAGGCTAGGCACAGCTGTGGGCTCAGCAGACAAGTGCTAGGAGCAGATGAGGGAGCAGTTGGCTCTCCAAAGCTCACAGGGAAAGCCCACAGAAGGCCACCATCATAGGAGGTGACCATGAGCCACACTTGGCCTGTAGACCATAGTTTACCAACCTCTGGTCCATATAAAGTATCTGGGATATTGGTAAAATGTAGATTCTGGTCTAAGATGAGGCCTGAGATTATCATTTATGACAAGTCCCCACCACAACCCCCAGTTTATAGACCACACTGAATAGCCATGTCTCTCAGGCTCTAAGGCAGTGGGGAGACCTGAGGTAAGGGAGAGTCAGTAAGGATGTAGCTGCTGTTCTTCTCTGAAGAACTACATGAGAGTGAATTACTGGTGGGTTAAAAAAAAAAAAAAAAAATGGAGGCCTGGGCCTCAGCTGAAGTGCTTCAGAATCTTTAACTGTATCAGACAAGAACATGCTTTTTTGCATGAAGCAAGCACTCAGTCCATGCTAGGTAACAGAAGACGACATGGGATACACTTGGTCTTTTTGGCTGATTTGTTTTGGTAGAAAACTCTTACACTGGAGCATTGGATGAATGTTAAATAGTAAGCAGAAGTACCAGCAGATTTCTAACCTGCAGCTGTCACAAAAAACCAAACCGGTTCTAGAGTCAGTGTCTTGAAGCCCCTGCTTGCCTTTCACACAAACCTTTGAGCAGGTTGACGCTAAAATCAGCCCATTTGTTTCACACTTGAGTTCACACCAAACCAATCCTAAAAACCCATATGGAAATAAACCCAAGGGACTCAGAATAGGCAAAACAATCTTGCAAAACAATGAACAATGAATCCTGGAGCACTGAAAAAAATAAAATAAAGTTTAAATAAATTTAAAAAACGAACAAAGTAGGAGGACTCAGACTTCCTGATTTCTAAACGGACTTCAGAGCTACAGTAATCAGCGTGTGATAGGAATGAAGTACATTCATTGTACTTGTGGTACGTACATGTGGCATTAAGATAGATATATGAGAGGAATGGGATAGACTTGAGAGTCCAGAAATAAATGCTTACATTTATGGTCCATTGGTTTTCAGTGAAGGTGCCAGGAAAAGTCAATGAGGAAAAATTATCTTTCCAAATGGTACTGACGCCATTGGATAGTCACATGCACAAGAATGAAGTCAATCCTTTCCCTCAGGCCATATACAAAACTTAACTTAAAATGGATTACAGACCTACAGGTGCCTGGGTGGCTCAATTGAATGAGCATCCCAGTCTTGGTTTCAGCTCAGGTCCTGATCTCAGGGTCCTGGGATCCAACCCTGCATCAGGCTCTGTGCTCAGTGTTGAGTCCACTTGTCCCTCTCCCTCTGCTCCTTCCCTATCTGTTCTCTCTCTCTCTGTGTCTTAAATAAGTAAGTACATACATACATAAAATTTTTTAAAAATTGGATTCCATTTTAAAAAATGGATTACAGACCTAAACATAAGACCTTAAACAAAATTCTTAGAAGAAAACACGGAGTAAATCATCACATAGCATTAGGCACTGGTCCATAGTTACGACAACAAAAACATATGCCACAAAAGAAAAAATAAACAAATAAGCTGGATTTCACCAAAATTAAGAACTTTTTTTTTTTTTGTAAACAATACCTTTGAAAAAGTATGAAAGCAACTACAGGATGGGAGAAAATACTTGCAAATTACATATCTGATAAGAGACTTGTATCCAGAATACATACAGAACTCTTACAATTCAACAATAAAACAATAGCTCAATTAAAAATGGCCAAGGAATATAAACAGAAGTTTCTCCAAAATAATGTGCTCACAGAAATACGTCCCAAATAACAAGCACGTGAAAAGATGCACAACCTCATTAGTCATGAAGGAAATGCAAATCAAAGCCACACTGACACACCGCTCACACCCTCCGAGATAGCTGTAATCAAAAAGAGAGACAATATGAGGGTCGGTGAGGATGCAGAGAAGTTGAAACCCTCATACACGTGGTAGGAATATAAAATGGAGAAACTGCTCTGGTAGTCCTTCAAAAAGTTAACACTCAGGTCATAATCTCAGAGTCCTGGGATTGAGTCCCACATAGGGCTTTCTGCTCGGTGGGGAGCCTGCTGCCTTCTCTCTCTCTCTGCTTGCCTCTCTGCCTACTTGTGATCTCTGTCTGTCCTATAAATAAATAAAATCTTTAAAAAAAAAAGTTAGACATAGAGTTATATGACCTGTAACTCCACACTTAGATATATACCTAAAAGAAATGAAAATAAAGGTTTATAAATGTGCATATAAATGTGCATATAAATGTTTACAAGCAGCATAACTCATAATAGCCAAAAAGTGGAAACAACCTAAATGTCCATTAGTGGATGCATGCATAAATAAAGTGTGGGAGCTCACACATATGCTATTATCTTACACTAAAACACCAACAAAGTACTGACACCTGCTGCAATATAGCAGAACCTTGGAAACATGCAAAATGAAAGAAGCAAGGCGCAAGAGACCACATATAGCATAACTGCATTTATGTGAAATGTCCAGAACAGGCAAATCCATAGATACAGAGAGTAGAGTATTGGTTGCCTAGAACTGGAATGCGGTGGGGATAGGAAGGGACTCCTAGTGAGTATTGGATTTCTTTGCGGGGCGATGAAATGTTCTAAAATTAGACAGTGGAGAGTGGTGCTTTCATAACTTGGAATATATTAAAAGTCACTAAATTGTGTATTATAACTAAATGAATTGTATTGTATGTGGATTATATCTCAATAAAGCTGTTTTAAAAATAAATAATAGTATTAGAGATTTCCTTAAAAACATTATTTGTAAAAAAATCACCCAATTGACTAACCTACAACTGACTACTGAAATTTAGCAAATTTTCCTTTACCTAAATCTTTGTATATTTCATTAAGTATATGTGAACATCTGTCTTTCTGGTACCGGTGTCTAAATGTAAAAAACTAGTCAGTAGATAGAAGTGTCAATAAACATGAATGATCTGTAATAAGTAGTAAACATCTGAAGGCAGGATAATATAAAAATACTTACTATCTTGTTTGAAATCTGAGGTGCTCAGCACTGGCAGGTGTCTTAAGGGTCAAAACTCTGTTGTGTTCACGCCATGGAAACTGGCCCCTCCTTCCTCATTAAAGCTTGCCAATCAATGTCAGCTTCCGGAGAGGGGTGCCCACTGGTGGAGAAGGGGGGCTGCCGCTCTGACTCCACCCAATCTGGCCAGCATTCCCAGTCTGTTTCTGGTCCTTGACAGCTTCTCTCCAAATAGCATTTCATCAAAATGCATGAAAATTGGGTTGTGGGGAGGGGGGAAGATTGCCAGTCCACAGGGGACTGTGAGGGAGATAAGCTGCTTGGTAACCACGATGGGGTGGTGGAGACAATGGGGCCCCTCACTTTCAGACCCAGGGGTGAGATCTTGGAATTCCCTTAACTTTGCTGAAACTCTTATTTCTCACCAATAAAATGAGGTTTTAACACTTTTCTTATAAGGCAATGGAAGGTGAGTAACTGAAATAATTTATGCAGCGCCTGGAACAGGGTAGAGGAAGAAAGGAGTGAGGGAGAAAATCTTCAGGTCCTTTCTCCTTGTCTCTTCTTTTTGATTCCTTATTCTAGCATCACGTATCTTTATGATGATGCTGGTCTAAGAGGACTTCTTCCGGCCTTCTTCTTGCCTCCCTCTTATCCTTCCTTCCTTCTCTTCCTTCTTCTTCCCCTTTTCCTCCTCCTTCTCCTCCTCCTCCTCCCTCCTCTTCCTCCCCCTCCTCCTCATCCTCCTTCCCCCTCCTCCCCCTTCCTCCTACTCCCTCTTCCTCCTACTTCCCCCTCCTCCTCTTCTCCCCCCAGCTCCTCTTCCTCCCCCTCCCCTTTCTCTCTTCTCTCTCTCTTTCTTTTTTCTTTCCCCTTCCCTTTCTCTGGTACCTTTCTCCCCACATGTATTTATTGAATGCCTTATATCTGCCAGACACTGTGTTGGGCCTCTGGAGAACAAGGCACTGGTGTTCCTTTCTTCTTTGAGAAGAGAGTCCAAAGTAAAAGACAAAATATTGAAAAGCATTTACCATGCAAATTTAGTATCCCATTAGCAGGGATACAATTCTTGTATTATACAAATAATATTTTTGTAAGATGAGGATTTATCTTGGTCTTACTTTTATAAAGCTTTGTGTGCCATTTGTATCGACATTTTAATTTTTTCAGATTGTGACTGAATGAATAACTTCCATCTGGGGTTAATATCAAAAATCTACCCTCAAAGGTCTCTTGCTCATATTGTGAGGGGTGGCAGAGACCACTGGGCAATACCTGTGGCCTAGCTATTGGTCTTTGTTCACCCCGGCTCAGACACTGAGACTAACATTTCTGACTGAGGTGACCTCCATGGAGTATCTTGTCCATAGAAACCATTTTTAGGGGCGCCTGGGTGGCTCAGTGGGTTAAAGCCTCTGCTTTTGGATCAGGTTATGATCTCAGGGTCCTAGGATCGAGACCCGCATCGGGCTCTCTGCTCAACGGGGAGCCTGCTTCCTCTAGTCTCTCTCTCTGCCTGCCTCTCTGCCTACTTGTGATCTCTGTCTGTCAAATAAATAAATCAAATCTTTAAAAAAAAAATTTTTAGATCTGGGAGAGATTCTAGAAATCATGATTCAAAAATTCATTTTAGAGATGAGAATGTTGGGACCCGTTGACATCCTGTTATTTAATTCAAGTCACACTGCTACTGTGTTTCAGTACATGGGTTACCATCTCTTTCACCCTAACCAGGGTAGATGCACAGTGACCACAAGTTCAAGGGTGGGCTGGGCTGCTTTGCCATTCCCTTTCATATTTACTGCTTACTGTTGCCCCCTGCTCAGGACACTGCAATTTTATTTTCTTCTACCTTCCTCCAATTCGAAAGAAGATAATAATAACAGACCCATAGAGATTTTGTCCTCAAACCAATAGTTGTGAAGGAGGTGATACAATGAGGTAGACAGAACGGTGATGTGGCACCTGGGAAGGATAAGGAATGAGATACTTATTGAATGCCTTTGTGCATTAGTTATCGTCCTCATGTTTTAGGGATATTACTCATCAATATTTTATTTATTTATTTGAGAGAGAAAGAGCACAAAGGCAGAAGGAGAGGGAGAAGCCAGCTCCCCACTGAACAAGGAGCCTAATATGAGGCTCGATCCCAGGACCCTGAGAACACAACCTGAGCTAAAGGCAGATGCTTAACTGATTGAGCCACCCAGGCGCTCATTCCTCATCAGTCTTAATATCAAGTTTGGAATGTAGTTTGCCCAGGAAGAAACTGAGGCTCAGAAGACTTAAGCATACACAGGCCAGATCTGTCTACTGCTTGTGGAGGGCTGAATGTGAGAGCTGGTCAGACTCAGCTCCTGACAGTGTTACTATTGGAGCCAGATGTCAGGGAGGTTCCAGGGTTCCTATATTTGAAACTGTGAAGGTGAGTGTCAGGTTCCATTTGTGGCTGCCAAATCATGTGTTCCCTTCAGTCTATGTCAATCCTATAGGAGTTTTCACGGAGCCTCCTAGTCAAAGAGGGGATCTTTGGTGCCCGTCAGTCCTTCAACCCAGCATCTCTTGTCCAGACATTTCAAGGCACTGCACTGTGCTTTTCAGGGTTCCTGAAATCCTACTCTCACCTCACTAAATAGTCCCTGATCCAACACTCATCAAGTCATCCAGGTCGAGGATGCCACATGCTTCCTGCTAGGATCTGGGCCAATAAAGTAGAAATTCTACCAGCAAATGGGAGGCCCCATAATGGAGTCCAGAATGGCTGCATGTAAAGTGGGTTGAACACAGAAGACCTAGGTGTAAAGGAGGCCAGATCTTGGAGTGCCATGCTTGCCCTGTCAGGATATCTGGACTTCACTTCTCCCCATGTACAACAGGAAACATTGGCAGTGTCTGAGTGGGGAAGGCAAATAATCTTAAGTCCACATTTTTAGACAGTTTGCCACGAGGAGTTGTAATGTGTGCACAGAAAGACTTAGAAGGCCATAAAAATGCATACACTGTGATTCAGGAAATCCATTTCCAGGGATCTATCACAAAGAAATGATTTAAAAATAGGCACAAGGGTTAAAATGCAAGGATCATCACTGAAGTGCTATTTCAAAAACTAAAAATGATGAATAACCCAAATTTCTAGTAAATAACTCAAATTTCAGTAAGGGAAAATATTATGTAGTCTCTTAAACTGATACTACCGATGTGTATCTATTGGTTTGGTAAAATATTAGGATATTAGGAATATGCTGCCAAATTAAAATAGGATCTTACAAAATGACCAATAATTTGGTACATGTATGTTCTTGCTTGTGTAGAGAAATGATTAATGGGATATAAACCAAATTGGTATTAAAAACCATTTTTCTGGGGGTGCCTTGGTGGCTCAGTGGGTTAAGCCTCTGCCTTCGGCTCAGGTCATAATCCCAGGGTCCTGGGATCCAGCCCCACATCGGGCTCCCTGCTCAGTGGAGGTTCTGCTTCTCTCTCTCACTCTCTCTCAAATAAATAAATAAAATCTTAAAAAAAATCTTTTTCATATAATGAGCATGTGTGACTTATGTAAACAAAAGAAACATTTTGTAATTGTCAAGGGTAGAGCTTTTGAGGACCTTGATTAGCATAGTGATGGCAGGAATGGGAAGGAGGGTGTTGCTGACACCGTGTCTGTAGGCTCACATAACTTGGCCACTGGATAATAAAGCCAGGTCACGGGGCGCCTGGGTGGCTCAGTGGGTTAAGCCTCTGCCTTCGGCTCAAGTCATGATCTCAGGGTCTTGGGATGGAGCCCCACATCGGGCTCTCTGCTCAGCAGGGAGCCTGCTTCCCTTCCTCTCTCTCTGCCTGCCTCTCTGCCTCCTTGTGATCTCTCTCTCTATATATAAATAAAATCTTAAAAAACAAAAACAAGCCGGGTCACCCTGAAGCACAGTGTCACTAACAGTAACCTGGGAGTCCTGGGTGTAGCACAATGCTTCCTACATCTTGACTGAGGGTTAGTAAGGTTATCAATGACTTGGGCAAGAAAAAAATGTCCTGGAGACCAGTTTGACAAGCCAGATCATCTAGCCCAACTACTGAACACATACAAACAAGTCACTGGTGACATCATCAGTTTCAGGGTCTTTAAGTAAACCAAGTCTACAAAGGCTATGTAGACACTGCCAAAGAAGAAGGAAGGCTTAGCCTGGCATTGGATAATGAGTCCTGGAATTGGCTAAAATATTGAGTAAAAGATCCTTTAGAACTTCAGAGACATGACCATTTGGGACCTGTCGTCTTCTAGAAGTGAGTGCTTTACCTCTACAGTCTTGTGCTTCAAACTCCTTCCTCTGACCATGACATTGTACCTTTCCACTTCTGTCACTCTGCCTCAGGGTAGTTTCTTCCAACCCACTCAAGTCACCAATGTTTTTCAGTTCCTCCTGGTTATTCATGTCACGTATGTATGTGTATACTGATATACATGAATTCTCTTTCCCATATGCGTGCAGATGTATAAAGGTGTATGTCTGTGTATATACATAAATAGATACATTTCAGTGGCTCGCTCTGTTTGCCAAATATTGTTCTGAGCGACTTACGTGAATTATACCTTTTAGTTCTTAGTACAGCCCTCTGATACAAGCGCTATTATTATTTCTATTGTACAGATTAGGAAGCTGAGGGGTTAAAAGGCTATGTAACTTGCCAAAGGCTTTTAGAGCTAGGAAAGTTAGAGCTGGGTTCAAGCCCAGGCCTGTCTGACTCAGCTCTTTTAATTACTGCACTATATCTGGAAGATATGGACCAAATGTTCAGTAATTACTTAATCAGGTTAGGACCCCCCCCCACTTTCCGTGTTGTTACTTTGTTTTGTTTAGATTTTTAACAGGAAAGTATTATGACATCTTAACTACGAAAAAAAATCTTCTTTCAAAGGGCCATCAGTTCCCTTAATTTCTTTGCCTATGGCCAGTCCGCTCTCCAGTTTTCTAAGACAGATAAGCATCTGTGGCCTCGTTCCTGGAACAGCAAACATCACCGGGGACACACAGGACCAGACCGACTGACTCCATGATTAAGGAGGGAATTC